GCCACGGGGATACGCGTTGAGGGCGGTACTGTGCGGACTGGGGGGGCGCGCGCAGACACGTGTAGAGGGCGGTACTGTGCGGACTGGGGCGCTCGCGCGCGGACACATGTAGAGAGCGGTACTGTGCGGACTGGGGCGGGCGCGCGCGGACACGTGTAGAGAGCGGTACTGTGCGGACTGAGGGGGGGCGGCCTGGCCGCAGGCCAGGCGGCCACGGGGACACGTGGCTGCCAAAGGCACCAATGCGGCACTACAGTAGTATACAAATTTAAATTGGACAGTACAGTAGAGTAGAAATAATAATATAGCCCCGATCCGTCTCGCGTTCCCTAGCGATCCTGGGGCACACCGTCTACGCGAAGCCAGTAAGTTACTCACTGTCCTCTTTGCTCCGGCCGGCTTGCCGCCCGCGGAATTAGAGCGCACGCGAACGCTTACTGACATTTGCCGGTGTGTGCTTTTTTACGCAGTGTCTACGGAACAAGAGAGAGAAGAACTACGCTGCGAGCGCCGCACCGCGACCTCCATCCGCCTCGATTTCGGGGATTCCCCGCCAGCGACCACACGTGTCACAGTCTTACAACCAGCTCCTCCGCGCGCGCCCGCCCCACGTGTACACGTCCCCAGAATTGCGCCCGTGCCCGCCCCACGTGTACCCCGCGCGCCGCTCTCACATGTGCCACGTCTCCCACCCGCCCCTGCGCCAGCCCGCGCACCACGTGTACTCGCACCACGTGTACCGCGCGCCCCGCTCCCACGTCTGCCACGTTTCCCGCCGCGCACTATTCCTACGTTCCGTGCGCTACGGGTGCCACGTGCGATCGAGCGGCCGCGTGATCGTGCCTTGCCACCTGTCACTGCTGTTGAAATAGTGAGCGCGCCCAAGGGGACACCAAGAAGCCAGCTTCTGTGGCCTAGTGGTTAACGAATTTTTGCGGCAAAATTTTCAGACCTCGATTTTAACATCAGGTTATGGGCCCAGATTTACGCTACCATTCGTGAGTTCGATTCCCACCGGGTGCACTTGGGCGGCGCAATGTTTGTTGTTTGTTTGTGTCACACTTGGGAACGTACCTGCCTGTGTGTTGTGCAGTGACCCGCGCCGTGTGTTTGGCGTCCCCTGGTCGAGGGGGAGTGTTGAAATAGTGAGCGCGCCCAAGGGGACACCAAGAAGCCAGCGCCTGTGGCCTAGTGGTTAACGAATTTTTGCGGCAGATTTTTCAGACCTCGATTTTACCATCAGGTTATGGGCCCAGATTTTCGCTACTATTCGTGAGTTCGATTCTCACCGGGTGCACTTGGGCGGCGCAATGTTTGTTGTTTGTGTCACACTTGGGAACGTACCTGCCTGTGTGTTGTGCAGTGACCCGCGCCGTGTGTTTGGCGTCCCTTGGTCGAGGGGGAGTGTTGAAATAGTGAGCGCGCCCAAGGGGACACCAAGAAGCCAGCACCTGTGGCTTAGTGGTTAACGAATTTTTGCGGCAGATTTTTCAGACCTCGATTTTACCATCAGGTTATGGGCCCAGATTTACGCTACCATTCGTGAGTTCGATTCTCACCGGGTGCACTTGGGCGGCGCAATGTTTGTTTGTTTGTGTCACACTTGGGAACGTACCTGCCTGTGTGTTGTGCAGTGACCCGCGCCGTGTGTTTGGCGTCCCCTGGTCGAGGGGGAGTGTTGAAATAGTGAGCGCGCCCGAGGGGACACCAAGAAGCCAGCGCCTGTGGCTTAGTGGTTAACGAATTTTTGCGGCAAATTTTTCAGACCTCGATTTTACCATCAACTGCTGTGTTGCGGAGTGAACCCTTGTACACGTGTGACATCTGCGACTTCCATTGCACCCGCGCGGTACTGTGGGACGGGCATGGGCATACCGAGGGGCACGTGGCTCAAGTGAATCAAGCGGGCCGCACATTACAGTGCGAGGTGTGTGCGTGCATGGTTGCAAGTGCACACGACTTTGGGAGACACCTGGCTGGCAAGAAGCACAAGCGTAAGCTCTGATCCATCACGGGATAGTGACAGGACAATAAAGACCCTATTGTTACTTTTTTGCGAAGTGCTCTTGCGGACGACCTAGCTGGCTGACGTTGCGTTCAGACCTTTGAGGACTGCTTGCTACGACTCATAGCGATCTACAACGGTCCCCTCGCACTTGCGTCAACCCTAGCTGCACTTACAGGGGTAACACTAGCGCGACGAGCAGAACAGGGAGAGCAGAACAGGTATGGCGGGACCAGCTGATGAAGACGTGGCAGAAGCAAGAAGGCAGCAAAGAAACGCGCGTGCAAGGGCAAGAAGAGCGCAAGAGTCTGAATCTGACGCCCAAGCACGTCGTGAGGCAGTTCGAGCCCGTGCGAGAATCTGGAGGGGGCAACAAACCGAATCTCATAGGGAAGCGCGTCGTCAAACCGACCGGGAACGTACTGCAGCACGAAGAGCAGCAGAGACTTCTCAGCAGCGCGAACAGCGTCTCCGTCGAAACAGAGAGAGAGACAGGGCGCGTAGAGTCCGTCGAGCACCGACAGAGGGTACCAGAGAGTCTCCAGAGCGCCAAGCAGCAGCGGAAGGTACCAGTGCCTCGAATCAAGCATCTATGCAACGCCCGCTACAGGTTGAGAGCACTCCTGATCGCATAACTCCATTGGAGGCCTCTCGTGTCTCAATGCAACAGACAAGAGCTGACGCAACGACCCTCTTTCGAGATGCACGGCGCGAAGCAGATCGCATTGCAACACGAGGCGCTAGAGCGGAAGAAAATACCCCCCTCCGAGATGCACGGCGCGAAGCGGATCGCATTGCGACACGAGGCGCTTGAGCACAGAAATGTACTCCTATTCATGAGGCGCGGCCAGACCTTGACCGCCTCTCCACCCAACGATCAAGGGATGCACAAGACACACCGACTCGGAATGCGCGGCAAAGATCCGACGGCCAGGCTCGAAGTGCCTCTCGACCGCTCTTCCCCCCACTACCCGAGTCTGTAGTGCAATGCGCCTGTCAGGCATGCCTGGACCGCAGGACCTTGGTCTCTGCAGAGACCAAGGTGCGATGGTCCAACACAAACAACAACAACAACAGCTGCCAACGGCACAGCGCTACGGAGTGTTCGAAGCTCCCTGTCCTCTTTAAGCGGGTTTGCGGCCCGCAGTAGCTCGGATCCCTGATAGGGGAGCAAAGAGAAGAGCCCAGCCCGGGATCGGAAAATGGTGGTAGAGACTTGTAAAGGCAACTGCTCGACGAGTTCGGAGGGGTGTCTAGGTAAACCTGGTCCGATGGGTCGTAAATCCAATGCTCGAAGAGCGCCTTGTACACCTTATACCCTTGATAAGGTCTTCGACGGGGACATCGCAACGTAGCCCGTCGGGAAAAAAGAAAACGTAGCAGCGCTACACCGTCCTACTGCCCGATGGCAAAGTACCAACACCGGATCGGTCGCAACCAGATTCCGATGGAACCGACGCTGAGAAAAGCACCACTGGTGCACCAACACAGAAGCCCGATGGCTAATGACGTCAAGTTGCGGATCGCAATCCTACAAGGTGGGACCAACTCAAGATTAAGGGAAATTAGGATAGGGAAGTAAAGCAAAAATTGATAAGGAAAAAGGGGACCCCCGAGCGCAAAGGATACCGTAGGCTAGAGTAGAAGGGAATGTCTTGTAAAAGACGGACTTCGACCAAGGCGATATCAAACTCTGGCAACTCGGGTTACCTTTACTGACTTGGTGGTCAGAGGGCTAAGGTATATATCGCCCCGCCGGAGCCACTACAGTAGCTCGCGGCGTTAGATCCTAGATCTAATCTAATGTCAGCAAAATTAATGCCAACTAATTAACTACATAAAATAAAACAATTAAAAATTAAAACTGTGCAATTATTCACACGTGTGTCTCCCAACCCGGACTATTTTTCATAACCAATTAATTTCCTTTCGTTTCACCCCCCTGTAAACCCCCATATTGCACTACAGAGTCCTCGCCTTCGTACCGCGATCTCGGCATGATCCGTGTTGAGTGTTCGCACTTCAAAGCTCTGCATTTCGTCCAAGAACGCATCGTGAGCAGCCCTGCCGCAAGGCCCATCTTTTCCACATGCTGTGGGAAGGGGAAGCTGTCATTACCCCTTCTCCCCGACCCGCCAGCTCTTCTGCGCTCTCTTCTCACCGATGATACTCCAAGGGCCCGCCGCTTCCGTAACAACATTCGAGCATACAATGCAGCGCTGTCTATGGCGTCCGTGGTTGCCAAATGAGTGAAAAGAGGGCCCGGTCCTTCCAATTTTAAGCCCACAATGACGATGCAGGGCGGCATGTACCATTACATGGGTCCCATGATGCCATCCGAGGGGCGGCCGCCTTCCTTTGCTTCTGTTTACATTCACGACACTGACTACGCCACCCAGACGTGACCAGTTCTGCAAAGTGGAGGCAGAAAGGCTTTCTTATCTCCGCCACAACCAGACACAATTTCGAGCCGCCGACTACACCTCACTGCGCGACAGCCTAAGAGACTCCGGTCGTGCTGAAGATGAAGCCGACGCCGTGCGTGCGGGACGACTGTTCATTCTCCCTTCCACGTACATTGGAGGTGACCGCCATATGAGGCAGCAGATGCACGACATCATTGCTATATCGAACCAAATTGGCCACCCGGACATCTTCCTCACCATGACATGCAATCCAAGCTGGCCAGAGATCACAAGAGCCCTACTGCCGAACCAAACGCCTCAGGACAGACCGGATCTGTGCGCACGTCTGTTTCGTCTCAAAATGAAAGATCTCATGTCCTTGGTCATCAACGAGGAAGTATTCGGAACCGTTGTTGCCCATGTACGAGTCATCGAGTTTCAGAAACGCGGTCTTCCCCACGCTCACGTTGTATTTTTCCTAGATGAAGTCTCCAAGAATGATCTGCGTACTCCCGAAAACGGTGACCGCATTATCTCTGCCGAGATCCCGTCTGCCCAAGATCCAGAACTTCAAGAGGTGGTACTCAAGCATATGATTCACAATCCATGTGGAGATCACAATCCAACAGCCGTGTGCATGGGCGAGCGGTACTGCAGGAAAGGGTTTCCAAAATCGTTCAAACACGAAACCAGCCAGTCCGACAGTGAGTACTACATCACGTACCGAAGAAGGGCACCCTCTGTAGGTGGCGTCTCCATCGAGCGTCCCTCCCGTATTGGCCGACGACAGCAATCCGTCGTGCTCGACAACTCCTGGGTCGTGCCCCACAGTCCTCTGCTTCTAAGATCGTTCGCTTGCCACTTGAATGTGGAACTCTGCGTGTCACGCGTTGGCGGAATCAAGTACCTCTTCAAGTATGTGTGCAAGGGACAAGACCGAGTGACCATGGAAATTACTGCCGAGAACGAGCGCTACGACGAAATCTCCAACTTCCAAGATGCCAGATACGTATCCGCATCGGAGGCCGCATGGGGGTTATTCTCCTTTGACATTGTAGACCGCAATCATCCAGTAGTCAGGCTTGCAGTGCATCTGCCCAACTACCACACGGTGTACTTTAAGGAAGGGCGAGAGGAGGAGGCGGCGCTTCGACCAGCAACAGGCACGAAGCTGACCGAGTGGTTTAAAGCCAACGAGAAGTACCCAAGCGCGAGGCATATTCGGTACCAAAAGTTTTCAAGGTACTTTACGTGGAAGACACGCACCAAGTCATGGAGTCCAAGAGCAACCCTTCGAAGACGGAACGCCAGCAGCGAAGAGGAAGCCTACGATTTCAGTGGTACAGGTGCCAACGTAGTCGGTCGAATCTATACTGTCAGTCCGAGGGAGGGTGAGCGCTACTTTCTTCGCCTCCTCCTCACATAAGTTCCAGAGGCAACATCCTTCGATAACTTGCGAAATATCGACGGCGAGCAGTGCCCCAGCTTCCGACAAGCTTGCTTACGACTCGGATTGCTGGCCGACGATGCCGAGTGGAAGAACACAATCCGAGATTCATTCCGGTCAAGCTTCGTTCTTCTTTCTCATCTGTTTGCTACGATTCTGGCAGACTGGCAGCCTTCGGATTCTCTCTCGCTGTGGAACGACCACCTGGACATGTTTTCACCGATATTCGCAATCGTGCACGCGGACAACCCATTCGAGGACAGCAGCTTCGCGATGATCACCACGCCACATCTTACGTGCTTCGAGAGGTACAGGAGGCCCTGCAGACCGTGCGTTCCGAGTGGACGCTCGCAACTTCGGACTTCCACTGCCCGATGACATCCTGCCCGCTTTGGAACAGCAAAACGAGATCGAGACCCCCGAAGCACGAGCGCAGCAGTGGGAAGAGCGACTACAGACGTCGTTGCCGCTGTTGAACACAAATCAACGCCATTCCGTTGACGAAATAGTGGGCTCCATGCTTCCAGGCATATCCGTCTCTGCATTGCTTCAAGGATCCTCAAGCGCCGTTGCGGGACCTTCTGTGCCGACGCGAAGTGGTCGTCTCTTCCTCGATGCTCCTGCCGCAACAGGCAAAGCATTCGTGCTCAGCGCCATTCAGGACTTCCTTCCTACGCGCCGTGTAGTATAACACCCCAGCGCTCAACAGACCACGAAGGCGGGAGCGGGCTCAAGGCGTATACTGTACCTCGAAGTGCGATGTCACCGGGCGTACGTGCCAATAAGCGAATGGGAACGTGTCCCTGGTAGCGTGGTAGAGTCTTGAATGGGTTCGACACCCCAACGAGCAACGGCTGGCAGATCGACGGGACGACGCGTGACTCGGCGCCCTTGCGGTCAGGGCGACGACGCGGAGTCCGGATCCTGGCACGGAGCCGCGCTGTCGTAGCGTCTCACTCTCGAGTGGGTGGTCGGAACGTAGAACTGAAAACGAAAGGGAAAAAGGCCAAAAGACCTACGAAAAAGAAAGGAAAGCGTAGACGACTAAGGGTCGGACTTGACCAGACTCGCCCTCCGTGCGCTGTCGATGGTCCTCTCTTCATTCCCCTAGCGGCCTCCTTTATTAACTACGTAATACTGTACTTCTTACACCGTAAAGCGTAACGGCGCCAATACAGAGGAGACTTCGTAACGACTATTTGCGCCGTTGCGCTACAGTACTGTACTCGAGGTACTGTAAGGATCGGTCGCCTTACACGCAACATTAGACGGATCCGAAAAATGACAGTCGTTGTCATAACGTTTGCCACGTGGTTGACGTTTCCACGCGGACAGTATTTTTGTGTAGATAGGACACCGGTCCTTATGCTACACGGCCCTCATCCCAGCTTGAGCGTCCCGGCTCAACACGTATGGCGAAGCGGCCGTATTGCTACTTATAAAGGCGGAGGCGACATCATCGTTATGTTTTTCGTAGGCAGCACCATCGCCGTCGTCGTCGTTATATGAAACGAGGCACGATGCCATCCCCACCGGGTGACGCTGTTACTCGTGTTCTCGAGGACGAGTTCCAGGAAATTACGAGTCCAACCAATGCCGCTGACGAGCCGCGGGTCGCCCCTCCGCCGGGGGTTCAGGTTTCCGAACCAACCCCGCAAAATTCACCAAACGTTGGTGACATTCTAAAACCAGTCGTAACAAGAGCCGTTGAGGCGCCCGTGCGACTCCCGAGTCAAGTCGTCGATCGGTCCACGATATCAGCACTAGAAGCGTCCGGTCGCGTTTACACGACGAGTCCCGGTGGACTGATTACGTTGCGTCGTTACGAATGGTACACTCCCTCACCGCCGCACGCAACCACAGGGAGTTGCGCTGTACCTGGGTACCCGTACGAGGGCGTCGAGCCCAGCGCGTCCCTGGAGCGATTCCCGTCGTCGTCAAAATGGCTTGGTCGTGCCAATGGAGACGGTCCCTCTCTCCACAAGGCCACGTTGGCATACGAGTGGGAACTGCTCCCCCGAGTCGATGTTACGTTATCCGAGGTCCTCACCGTGTCGCATCCTCGTCCGGACCTTCGCCGCTTTCAACTCATGGCGTTTCGTAGTGTGCCGGAAGCCGTGGCCGCAGCTTGGGGGTCTTACTTTGGTCGCGGGCACGCGTACCAGGTCCCTGATGAAATACCTTGCGATCGCACGTTTGCGTTTTCCGTCGAAGAAGTCGAGTACGCCGACAAGACAGCACGTCTGCTCTTTGGTACCACGGATCCGGACTCGAACGTCTTTCCTCTCTCTGAAATGGCAACGTTGTATATGCAACCCTGCCCCGCCTGGTACCCCGACACGCGTCTGGAGTTGGTACGTGCAACCGCCAGCTTGATGCGCATGACGGGACGTTCGCTGTGTCCCACCGACTGGTCATCGTGCCGTCGGCCGGACAACGATGAAACTCGAGTTTCCCATGCGTCATCGCTCGCGATGGGGTTGACGCGGGAATCGTTCCCTCAACTTCCACCTTCCATTTCCGGTACATTTCCTCCAGCGGGGGTACACGTTCTTCTCCCGCTGGTACTTACGTTTTTCGGCTATGCCGCGGCCGATCCGCAGCACCCATCTGCGGTCAGGTTTAATCGCGTCGTAGCGCAATAATGGACGGCCCACATGCTGAGTGCGTTTATGCGAGAGTTCATTACCGATCGTCGTGCGTTCATTCTCTGTGCAGCGTGCGTCGAGGCAACGCAAATTAATGCGGCGACCTCGCCTCCCCTCACCCAATGTGCACAGGGGGGGACGGACGCTAGCCGTTGGACGTTCCCGGAAGCCCATTCGTGGGTAGTTCGTGCCGTGTCTGCGGACGTTTCCGCTCGTGAATCCCGAAAAGATTTTGCCACCGGTGGTCGTTCACAGTACGTATATTACAACTCTTTGACCGATTCGTTCACCCGAGAACCTCGGCGTGGCGGAGATTCACGTCCGTATCGTGTTGGCCTTGGCCTGAAGCGTGCGTACAGTTCCGTTGGCGGGGGTTCCGTTCCGCTTCCATTCGTTGGAGGGTCCACCGATTCGCTGCTCGTCGTTCCTCGTGTTGCCTCGAATTCTGTCCTTAAGTCGGACCTCTCCTCGGATGATATGGACCGTGTTCCGAAAGCCGTCGAGGCATTGGGGCAAAGGTCGTCCGAAACGTGGAGCGTTTTTTCAATCATTGACACGTTAGCGAGATGGTACCTCGTAAGGGATTCCGAATTACGTCAGCTGAGCGCAGACTTACGCGCCGCACAAGCGGAGGCCTCGTTGGCTACAAGTCGATTGGAGGACGTGTCTAGTGCGTTAACAGACGCGAGGACCGTAATTCGTGACGTTCGGGAAGAGCGCGATCGGTATCGCGCTCAACGCGACGAGGTGTGGTATGGCGGCGGCCGTGGGCAACGTGGATATTATCCGTCGACCGTCGGGTCGAGTGCAACGAATGCTGGGCAAGCGTATCCCTCCTGGCCCCAAGAGCAGCCCAGACGTCCCGAACCGTATCAAGTTAGTCATCGCGACCCGTACGAATACCTTCGTGGTACTGGCCAATCGCTCGAGGGCGGTGCTGGTCGTCCGCTCCCGCAGCGAGGAGAAGGCGTCCGTCGTGAGGACGGCCCTCCGCCGTTTGATGGGGCTGCGTAGGCCGTTTCGATATGAGCCGTTGCCAAGGTGAGGTAGTAAATACAGCGTAGTACTGTAAACGTGTCTTTTGTCGCCCTTCAGTCGTTGATATGTCCCGAGGTGCGCGCCTTCTGATCGCAAAGCGAAAACATGTAAGCTCAGTGACCTGTAAGCGTGGACCGGATGAACACACATAACACGTGTAAAACGTGCACACCTGTAAACGTGTGCACGTGTAAACGTGTACAGGAGACGCTATGTATGGTTTGTTACACGTGTAAACGTGTGAAAACTGTGACACGTGTAAATTGGTATAACATGTAAAAACATGTTCGACATGGAAATTGTGTTAAGGGACCCCCTTCTGAAGCGTGAAGTCCCGGTCACGCGCTGACGTGTTGGCGTCGAAGGATCTGAGGGCGGCTGCGGCCGGATCGGGATATTCTTAAGCGATACCGACTGACAAGCTCCTCCGGGATGTGCGTCCGTGGCGTCCACGAGGGTTCATCTTAACCCGTCCATTTCACGAGGAATTCAAGGTTCCCGTTCTCCGTTGTGCGGTGGTCAATAATACGGTCGACCGTGTATGTTGGACCCTCGTGTACTTTTTGCGAGAGGTGTGCCTCGGTGGCTTGCGGGATTTCGTCCGCTGTGGGGTTCGTTTGTGACCCAGACGGTGTGTCAGAAGGGGGTGGCGCAAAGGTGCAGCGGTCTGCAGAAACACATTCTATTACGCCGTTTCGATCGATAGTGACAGTGCGTTTGTCATTCTTGAGAACTCTGTAAGGCCCCTCGGCCGGATGTTGTAGCTTCCCAGGCTTCGTCACGCCGTCCGTGGAGTCGAGGAAAACGTGATCCCCTGCCCGCAGTGTAGATTTCGTCCTTCGAATACGTTTGTCGAAATCACGTTTGTATCGATCCTGCGTACGTTGCAGGCTTGAATATGCCTTCTGAATGGACGTGTCCAGTCTTTGCTTGAAATCTTCACGGGTCGTGAGGTCGGGTGCCTTCCGTACTCGCGCAGAGTGGTGTAGCGAAAACTCTGGGGGTGGCCTCGTCAGTACTAAGTCGAATGGCGTCGTACGGGTAGATCTGTGAACGTGGCAATTGTATGCGTAGGTAAGCAAGGTAGCGTATTTGTCCCAGTCGTTTTGGTGTTCATTAACGTAGTTTCGTAGCATGGCGACGATAGGCCGATTGTAACGTTCCGTCTGCCCATTCGTTTGGGGATGATATGCAGACGTAAAGAGGTTCGTTACCCCAAGCATATCACAAACGAATTGGAACAAACGTGATGAGAATTGCGGACCGTTGTCCGAAAGCAACGTCTTAGGGACACCATATTTGAACACCCAAGACTCCCAGAATGCCACGGTGACAACGTACGCGGAGACACTGCGCAATGCGACTACTTGTGTCAACTTTGTAAAGCGATCGGTGATCACAAGTAGATACTTACGCCCCCGTTTGGACTTGGGTAACGGTCCCAAAATGTCGATCGCGACAGATTCCAATGGCGCCGTAGCCGGGAAGAGCTTTAGGCGGTTGAGTCTCTTCCTCAACCGAACTCGGTTCTTTGCGCAAGAGCGGCAATTGCGGACCGTCGCTGCGACGTCTACTGCCATATGCGACCAGTAGTACGAGCGTCGCAAAACGTAGTACATCCTGTTTTGGCCCGAGTGGCCAGCAATAACAGGCTCGTGTGTCAATGAAAGTAGACGGGCACGTAATGATTTA